AAGTTAGCCAACTGTCAAACTTAAAAATTTCAATTCCTCTTCAAATAATAAAATATCAGAATAAAAAAACAATACTAATCGAACAGCTTGTTATAAAAATCAAATGATACTCGTTCACAATAATTCACAATAACTATTCAATAGAAATCACTAATCATTTCACAAACATTTAAAATCGTAAAATGTGTCAGAATTATGACAACAAAAACTATAAAATATAATCAAGAAATAGTCAAAAAGGCAGAAATAGTTAATTCCATTGATGTCTCTTTATTCACTGGTCGTTTTACGCATAAGGATCGGTCCCTATAATCGGGTCGCGACACACTCGGAAACACTTGAGAAAATTAGAAGCAGAGAAAATTTCACGCCAGGAATCGATCAGAACTCGGAAGAAACTCGCCCACGTTTTCACTGGTGGATGGTTTCGAGTGTGTGCAATCGAGAATCTCAATACCATGATGAAAAACGACTATGAAAGAGGAAAAGTAGAATGACTTGAACAAAGCAATGAATCGGAGGAATACAATTATCGAACGATCGACAGAGCTCGCGCACAATCGATATATAACGATAGTTAAAAGTGAGTACACATAGAAATGATATTTATTTAATATTGAAAATCAAGCTATATACAAAATATTATTTATTTATTGATCAATTACTTACCTTATCAAAAATTTTAAATCATTAATATAGATTCTATGGAATTTACGAAATTAAAAGAAAGTTAGGTTATTTTAAAAAATATTTAATTAATTAAAAAATGTTATCATTCATATATCTGATATAATATAAAAAGAAAAAAAATATAATTTTAAATTTTTTATTGATATATAGTGAATAAATAGTGAAAACCAAACATAAATATATAATAAATTTATTTATTAAATTGTACATTTATGTTATACATATTAAAAAATATGTACTAAAAAAATACAAATTATGTATAAAAATAATGAAAAATATGTGTTTTTAATATATTATATTTAATATTGTTTACGTACATTATTATTAAATATTATTTTGTAAAATATATATTTTGAATTCTATATAATTTTATTATATAAATTCCATTTCTTTAAAGTGATACTCATATTTTTGATTCTTTCTGTACATATATAAAAATTATTAGACATGAAAGGGAAAAAGAGATAGAGGCTAGTTTTAAAAGATTGAGAAGAATTAGGAAAATTCATGAGCGCGTGAAAATAGAGAAGTCAGAAATAAAACTAGGAGAAATTTTTACACATTTATAGAAACAACTGTCATAAACGATTTTTCATGAAAATAATTCCAAAATTAAATGAATCTGATTGCATGATGATCGAGGGTATAGATTTTATTTCTTCGAACGAAATTCTGCTCCTTATATTCTCATCTCAAATTTATTACAAAAGAATAGAGAAGTTTATGGGTTATTTAGATAAAAAAATATTTGATAAGAAAATGCGAAATATTGATTATACATGAGAGACAATTGATACTGACGCTATTTATTATATATGTATGTAAATACATTCTATATGTAGTAACTATAAAAATTATTTTTATATTTTTACTAAAAAATGTTTTCAAAAAATCAAGCCACTTTTTTTATATTTTATATTTGAACTATAATAATATGTAAATATTTTTTAAAGCCATTGTAAATTATCAATTATGATTATCAATTGAAGCAATATTATATTTAGAGAATATTTATTATATACAAAATTTAAAATCATCAGTTATATATGAATATAATCTTTTCAAGATAAATTTTTTTTCTAATAATAGTATTCATTATATTAATTCACTATATTATATATACAATATTATACTAGTACGAAATATATAATAAATAAAAAAAAATATAGACAAAATCAATTAATTTTTAAATGTAATTCTCAATAAATCTTATTTCTAATATCCATCAACATCTTTTATTAATAAATTCAATTATAATTTGAATTTTTTTCAATATATTATTCATTAATCTCAATTCAAATCACTATTCTTCAAAGAATTATCTCAAACCTTCAAATCTTATCGATACTCTCAAAATTTATTTACCAAATCAAGAACCATCACAGAAAAACGGTAACCACCTTCGTTCGCATCATAAAAACAACATCCTCTTATGAGAACTTAGGAAACCTTATAACTTTCCTTGAATCGAAATTCCTTGCCACTTCGCGACCCAAAAGGGAGAACCAAACAAGAATCTCTCTCTCTTTCTCTCTCTTTCTCTACCCCCAAACCTAACAAACTCAATAATGATAATTCCAATAATCTTCAAATAAATCAAAAGCTAAAAAATAAAAACGATAATTTGGAAGGAAAGAAAATTAGAAAAATCGAACGATACTCACGATGCTCGTTCTCGGTTGGCTCCACTACTCCGAAACGAGGTGTCTCGAGGTTCCTCCTATCCTCTGTCCTCTGTGTCGCTCGAAGATTTCGACGCGGGCCGGATCCGTGGAAACAATTAGCGAACGTGTTCTGGCGTTGTATGGCAATGAGAAAAGAGCGAGTGAAAAACACGGGGTCTCGCGTTTTACAAGCGCATCATCGTTTTATACGCCCTGCGACATCGACGACGATGTAGACGGTGGAAAATCTATCGGTGGCACGGTCTCTCGACGTTGGGACACGAGTGCGCCTGACCGGTGGCGGATACGAACATGGCCGACCCCCCCGACCCAAATCGATAAAACACGTTACGTTTTCCGCCGTTTCGACGGAGCCGATGCTCTTGCGCCTTCTCCACCCCCCTCGGACGGATGCGCGCGCCATAGACAACCACGGTGAAAAAGATGTTTTTAGGGTGCAGAATAACATTTTCATCGTGGAAGACGAGCACGTTAAACGTTGCTCGATAGAATTTTTTGTATTTTTTTTTTTTTTTTAAAGAAAGGAGGAGAAAATACTTTCTCTAATTTTGAAACTGAATAATATGTGTAGGATAGTTTTGTTAAATATTTTTCGTGCAATAAAATTGGATAGATAACTGAGTTGGCTAAGTATATATATTTGGTTTTCTGATTTTTAATTGTTTAATGTTTATATGTAATGTTTATTTATTTATTTTTTGTTATACATTTTATAATTGGATAATTGTATAGTTTTATGGTAGTTGGAACTAGATCTTTACTCAATTTTTAACACATAATTTATCACTATTAATATTGTATTAAGTGGAATAGTATGTATATATATATATATATATATATATATATGAATATTATATTGAAAGATAATATTGCATGAATATTTGGTTACAAGAAATACAAAAAAAAAAAAAATATAAAATTAATGAAAATATATCAAATATATTTTTGATTAAATTTTTTAAATAAAAAAAAAAAGAAAAAAATAGAAGACATTTTGAAGTAAGTTAAAAAAAAAAATAGTTTGTAAGAATATTTTTATATTTTTTTAAGATATAAAATATTTTTTACTATCTAAATAAAATAAAAATAAAAATTATTCATAATATTACCATGATTTTTTAGGAGATTTTAGATTTTTTTAATAGAATCGCGATGGAAAAATTATTCAGAGAAATTCTAAATTTTGTTATTTGGATTATTGTATTACATTTCATTTCGGTTGATCTTGTTGATATTGTAAAGAATTGTTAACGATTGTATAGAATTGAATTCTTTGGGCTACTATTGCTAGAGATGCGAATAGAGATGATACAGAAAATGGCGATAATTGAATCTCGAGGGTAGATGGTTTAAATTTCAATGGATTAAAGAGGTACACGAATAAAATTGAAAGTGGAAAATTTAGAAAGCATTCTTTAGAATTTAATAATAGGAAAATATATTTTTAAAATTGATAATATTAATAATGTCAAAAAAATTTTTTAAATCTGTAGATTTTTTTTAGTGAATTTAAATTTTCTTTAAAAAAGTATTTATAAAATAGAATATTCTTAATGTTACATGATAAGTAGTAAAGGAAAATCGATTCATAAATTAAGCTCATTCATAGGCAGCAAACTTGTAATCTTATTTAAGCCTTAAAAACGTTCGTGTTCATAAAAATTTTTATCCACTTCAAACAAAAAAAAAAATGTTTCTGTATGTATAATAATAGATATGACATGATAATACAAAAGATTATATTTATAATTTAATTAATTATTAGTAATAGTGAAAAAAATTATTTTCTATGGAATAGAATTTTATTAAAATTTGAATTTGATCAATAAATCTTTAAATTATTCTATTCTTTAGATCATTCAAAAATTAATAATAAGATTGTAATAAAATTAATAATATCCTAATTTTCAATTAATCTATAATTTTTAATTGATTTCATCTAATTTCTAATTCTTCTTCTTAATTATAATTTATATTTAATTTAATTTAATTTAATTTATAATCTTTTTCTAATTTATCTTATTTTTTACATTTTTATTTTTAATATGAGAATACTAAAATAAATATTGGATTATCTCTAAAATTGTAATATACAATATTATTTAATCCCTTTAATCTTCATTGTCTATTTCATAGAATCATAGTATGAAAAATCATCCATCTTTTCCTTTTGTCTTCGCTTTTTATACTTTGCAATTATAAAAGCATGATGTCATTTTTATTTATTTTTTTTATTTTTCATTCTTTCTGACTCAAAATTGCAAAAATGCGATAGAAATTTTTAATTTAGTTTTTTTTCTTTTTTTTCATTTTTTATTATTATTTTATTCACCAATCAAATAAATATTAAAACTAAGGTTATTCAATATTTTCTGTGAAAAAACTAGGAAAATATAAAAAATATAATTAAAAACGATATATGAATTTTTAATGATAGTATAAATTTTCAGAATGCAATTTAATTAATTTCACGATACTTAAAGATTTCATCATTAAAAAAAAATAAAGAAAAATGAAAAGTGAAAATTGAAATATAATATAATATTTATATTATATAATATAATATAATTCCTTTTATAATTTTAATATAATATATAAATATTTAAATATTATAAATATATAAATATTTTTAATTCTGAAAAATATGATATAAAAAAATGAAGAGTCGCGTTTAGAAAGAGCAATTCCATGGTGTCCATTGCTCAACGAAATGAAACTTATCGACCAAATATCGGCTCACGGGACTTCAGTTTGTGAACACTTCGCCGGGCATAACGGTGAAGAGCATCCTCGAATTATTATCTAGAGGCCAGCGCTCAAGTTGGAGTGGGTCTTCGGCTTTATTTCCGCGAAAGTAGTTCGGCCTGGTTGCATCTTAAAACTTTAGCAGTCTCTGCTAGCAAAAGACTACTTTATCGAGATGAAAAATTCGGTGAATATCAAGCAAAACGACGACTCATTGTTGAACGATCTAAATGAGTCAAATTTACGTGATGATCGAAACGAGATATCGCCTAAATTGACTTTTGAAAACGGTTCAGATTTATCGATATTGAATAGTTCTTATCAAATTCCGGATATATCAAAGAAATATATTGAACCGATAATCCTCGATACATCACTACCGTATGTAAGTATTTCTATCCTATTCTAAATAAACAGACAAAATACAGAATAAATTTTATATTTTAGGATTTCATTTTTTTTCCTATTTATCATTATTGGGAAGGACGAGCATCCAAGGAATTTCTCATATTGTTATATTTTCTTTCTTTATTCTGTATATTTCTACTTTTATAAATTCGTAAAACTTGTCTATTTATTGTTGGTAAAAAAGATTTTTTTAAATGTTTCATAAATGATAGAATATCTGTATTATACTTATGATAAATTAAATATTTAACTCTTGTATTAAAATATATATTTTGAAAATCGTCATCTTAAAGATATGTTACAAAATCAAGAATATAATATCTTTATTTTTAAATTAAATTAAAACACATTGTATAGTTTTTGAAAAAAATGATGAAATTATATTCAATTGATATTGTCTGCGCTAAGTTATGCGCCAAGAACTATAAATAAAGAGAGTAAATAATAAAAAAAGGATAGAGATAGGATAAAATTTGAGGAATCAGCGCCATCTCTAGAGTGCCGCAAATTAAATATAAAAGTAGACAAAGAAAATGAATATTGAAAAAAAAGACAGAGTTAGAATAACAATTGATTATTAGCGTCATCTCTTGAGTATTAAAGACAATCCTCAAAAAGGGATGGTAAGGTAGAGCAAGAAATGACAGTTAATTTTTATTATATTTCTTCTTTTTATTTCTTCTTAATATTTTTTCTAGATTTATATTTAATTTACTCTGAAATCATTAAATCCTCAATTTTTATCTTTTCTATTTCTTTTTCTACTATTTATATACGTCTCTACTATATATTTATGATTGTGTTACATGCAATGAAAAGAAAAAAATTATTACTGCTAATAATGATTTTTTATTGTTTATAACTTTATATTATAAAAAATAATTAATATTAAATAATTAAAAACTCTGATTTTTTATATGTTTAATTTTATTTTTTTTCTTTGATTATTTATAACTGTATTAATTTATTATTAAAATTTTAAAAATAATATATTTTGATATATTATGATAACTTTTATGATATATTTATAAGAAATTTGTTTCCAGATTCCCGTTTATATTCATTTAAAAACGTATGATTTAAAACCTATCGAAAAGCCTCCAACTCCATCTATTTTATCTGAATTACGATTAAGATGTCAGTAAGTAAATGCAATCAAATCTTTAATAATAAAATATTCTAATTAATTAAATGTAAAAGAAATATTTTATAAAATTTTAGAGATGACAATCAATCAACCGAAAGAATAAATCAAACTGCTTGGAAAAATGAAACCGCGGCAAAGTGAAAAAAATTTGAAATTGAAATAAAATCTAAACAATTATTTTGTTAATATATAGTTTTAAGAATACAATTTTTACTTCTATTATAATATAAATTTTCTGCTATGATCTTTATAAAATTTAATTTTTAACTATAAAAATAAAAAATTTATAAATTTTTGATATTGTAATTTTGATTTTAGATTTATTCCAATATTATTTTCTTTAATTTAATTTTTGAAACAAGTAATAAACAAAACTTCTAAGTTTACTATTATTATTAATTAATTATTTTAAAATATATAATTTATATGCCCTTCTATCTAGTTTTTACTCAATGACAATATAGTTGTGAATGTATGCTTTACAAAATGTATGAAGTAGGAAATTGTTACGATTAGGTTATATTTAAAGTATCTATCTTTCAAATAAATGATGATATATTATAATTAGTTGCAATAGTGTTTAATATTGTGACAGATGTAATTATAACATGCGACAATGAAGAAATTCAACGAATTATTCACGATTTGTTTCTTATTGCATTATTTCTATAGCGTTTGTATAACTCATTTGCTCATAAATGTCAAAAATCAGGTATGAATTTTTATTTCGCACTTATTATAATGAAAAATCAAAATAAATTACAATTGCTAAATTACAAGTGCTATATAATGAAAATTTGTGATATAATTTATCAATTAAAAATTCATTTCGATAATTTAATTGCAATTAAAGTTTAATAAAATAAAATTTAAAGATGAATAAGAATTTAAATGCTATAAGTCATTTATATATCACTACTTTACAGGGTGGTGATATTTTGTTAGAAACGATTTCTTCCAATGTTACTGAAGATGTTATTACCTTAGAATTTCAATGTTCAGATGGCACATTGGTAACACAACTTATTGATTTCAAAAATGTAATTCATTATTTTGAAATTCTATAATTTCTCATCATATATCATATATATATATATAAATAAAAATAAAACATATTTCTTTAGGAAGTGCAAATAATAAAAGCTTTAGTTTTGGGTGAAGAAGAACGTGGTCAGAATCAATATCAAGTTTTGTGTTTTGTTAATCATTTTTTTAAAGTGGATTTCATATCTTCTGATGCAATGTCTAAACTAAGGCAAAAAAATCCAGGCACTGTACGTGTTGCAGAAGAAGATAAAGGTCATGTAAATTATACTATGGACTTATTCTTAGATGTATCTGAATCTAAAGATATCTCTAAGCACATTGCAACTCTTTGTGGAGAAGCAGCTGGATCTGCTTATACTAGAAATGAAGATATAAAACAATGGATTCAAAGGCCTGGTAAGTTTTATTGACGCATAAATGAAGATCTTTAAAATAAAATAAGATTTAAATTTAATTTATCAGATTTTTTATTTTTTAATTCATTAGGTTCATCTGAACTTTCATTGATGGCAGCTGTATATAACTTCAGCACAAATTCTTTGACACAACAAGGTACAAATGATTCAAGATCTTTATTTGTAACAAGATGTGCAGATACATCAAATATGTGGGCACCTTGTACATGTTCGTTAGAGTTATGTATTGGATGGTATCCATGTGGTTTAAAATTTTGCAAAGGCAAAAGTGATGGTAAAAAAGCAGCTACTCCATATAAATGTGGCATTAAAACATGTAAAAAATGTTTTATATTCTCATATTATTCTAAGATGAAGCAGAATTGTTTATGGGATGAATGACATATAAGAACACTATAGATATATAGGTAATTTATAAAAAGTTAAACTTTTTCAGAGCATGAAAAAATATTATTTTCTTAATTTATCATTTTTATATTAACAAAAATATAATTCAAAATTTTTTTTCAATTTTTTCTTATTCGATATTAAATGCTTATAAATGTAAACATCTGTGACATATAGTACTATTATTTTAAGATTTATAATTTCATTTTATTATATATATATATATATATAATTATTATATTACATTTTTATCAAGGTATAGTAATTTTTTTATTTTTTGTAAGAAAATTTTCTCTTTTAAATTTGTAATATTTTCTTCATGATGAATTTAAGAAAAACTAGAGAATAATTTAAAATCAATCATTATAAAAGTTTTAAATCTGCTCTGTTTATTGATGAAGTTTCTGATGCCATGTATAGTTCTCTACTTGTAGTAAATACTAATATGAGATGAACAAATCAATTTAAATAGACAAGTATTAATATTATATTTGCAGAACTTGTCAATATCATTGATGCTTTTAAAGTGCCAGTGTTTTTCTATACAGATGCACGATGGATATCGGCGATTCCATTAATTACGAAAACAGAGTGAAAAAAATCCTTGGTACATGTACTAGAGTGTCAACAGACTTTTAGATTAGATGGATTCTTACTTTTATAGATTGTACTGAATGGATGCATTTGTAACACTAATATTTGTATTTTATTAAAATAACGAATTAAGAGCTTTATAAAAAAAAAAAAAAAATAAAATATAAAAAATAAGAAAAAAAATTATTGAAGAAAAAAAAAAATGAAACTAATTCTAAAAGATTTTTTATATATCATATTATATAAAAATTATTTAAGTTTATTACTTATCATATACCATACATTCCTAAATTAATATTCTCGTGTATTTATCAAGAAGGTAATCATTCCTAATCTTATACTATATTGTGTCTTACAAAGTACATACTATTTAACATATGTACATTGTCACAGATGTGCGTATTAGTATTATAAATTCATGTACTTTTTCACAAAGCAACATTGTTGTTGTATAATGAAAGGCGTATAATTGTTCGAGTATAAATTCGAACATGTTTCTTTAATTATTCATTGCCGTTTAAACTTGCGGTAATAAGTATTTATATATACACATTAATATATTAGGATAATATAAGTTACAAATAATCCATTCAGGATAACGTGATGATTACACGTTTAATTTACATGTGTATAGTATCATGATATATTAAACGATGTATAATACGCGCAATTTTTTCTTAAATTATTAAAAATATGAAAGAATTGTTTTTGAATTTATAATACATGGAAAAATATAATATTAGGTTAGAATTTTTTATGCTCTTGTTTTGTTATTTTGATATTTTTTAGTGAACAATATTGATATAAAATTTTATAATTTTTTTTAAAAATATGTTGTAAATAATTCTTGTCTAATTATCAAATGAATTAATTCGTATTAACAACAACTTTATTATATTTTTAATAATTTATAAGAAATGATTACGCGTATTTACTTAAACAATAAACGCACGGGTGTCTGTACAGAATTTTATACATGACTTGTAAAGCTGCCATTTACATGTATAAGTTAGGTTTCAATTGTACATAATGCAAAAGAGAAAAAGTTGACACAAATATAAGCAATGAAAAATTAAGTACGTGACAATGAATTAGATTTCTGTATATAAAGAATATTTGTTAATAACCGAAACGTACAGTTCATAATATATATACATATAATATATGAAATAATCAATGAATGAAATGTTGTTGACTTGTATGAAATAAGAATTCACTATTTGTACAAAACGTTTGCTTGGCATTTAAATGAGAGAGATAAAAATGAGAGTATACGTTTCATAGCAAACCACTATAAACAAGACTGCAATATCTGTCCAATTTAATAATAAACATATTATATATACACGTTGCAATTCTCCGTGCTTCCTCACTGACAAAATCGTATTTAAATTTTCTAGTGTAAGTAAAAGATAAACAAAAATGGGAAATATACTATGTACACATATTGCACATACTTACGCCTGTAATCGAATATTTATGAAACTTGTAAGCGTTAAACGGCACACACGTATCATACCTCGCTCACGTTTGTATCTATTAGTTCCATACTATACTTCACTAAAAATAAGACAAACGAAGAAAAAAATGTATCACTTTATTCGTCAAGAACGAACTTTATACGTGTGAGTCAATGATATAACTCGATTAAGTAATTCAAACGTGAACTGTGTAACCGATTAGTTTGTAAACAGCAATATAAATTTGTACATTATGTATATACGTATCTACAATCTATAGAGCGACTCATAAGAAAAATGGATCAAATGAATAATTTTTTTTTAATCTTATTGAAAATTTAAAAAATATAAATATACATTTTCAAAATATTTGAAAGAAATGAAATTTTTTTTAATGAAAATTTTTTCTAATTTTCAAAATAATTAAATATAATATAGTTGATATAAAATTTTTTGAATCAAATTTATAAAATTATTATTTCTTAAAATTATAAAATAAAAAAATTAAAAATTTCATTTTATTAATTTTGAAAATTAAAAATAATCGATTTGAAAAAAAAAAGAACATTAATTTATAGATACATATTTTAATATCTCTTGTTATATTTAAAAAAAATTTGATTCATCTTTTTTTGTGAATCATCCTGTATATTTATTATTAGTTATTAAATATGGTATAGACAAATTGCAAAATATTCAAGATGTTATCAGTATATTAGTATATCGACAATTATATGTCATTTAACGTGCACGATGAAAAAAAAACGAAGAAAAAAAAAAAGAGAAACATAAAAAGAAATTCACGTGAATAACGAAGACATTAATTATTAATATAATTTAAATTAAGAAAAAATTTTCAAACTATTGTTCCTGTTTAAAAAATTCTTATATTATGTTAATCTTTCTTTCTCTTTTTCTCTCTCAAATAATGAAAGCACTAATCTATTATGACTAACTTGCGAACATTATGTGGTCACTTTGGTTAATATGGTGGGGGTTTAGGAAACGAGAAAAAGAAGGAGACTAATAGAATTTAAACGTTTTTCTATCAACACTTCGAATTGGAACTTAATGTTACTCACCGTGTATGATTTCAATTTTACATATAACATTGTAATTTATACATATATTTTTTATATATATTTAATAAAAAGAACGAATAAATAAACATTGCGTTTAATTTTGATTGTTCTAATAGATATTCTTGTAATAATATTTATATAATAACAATAACAAATTTTTTAATAATGAGAACGTTACAGATATCTTGTTTATTCTACTTTTTCATGTTTCTATTTTTTTCTTATTTATCAATATTATTTTCACATTTTGAAAAGAACTTATTGTGATTTACAAATTAGATATTATAATAATATTATAATATTTTTTCTTCCATGATAGTAAATATATAAAAAAAATATCCAAAAAAATAATAAATAATTTTTTGAAAAAGATAAATTGAACAGTATTTAAAGATAAATGAAACGCCCTATTTTTAATGTTATTTTTAATATTTTATAGCTATATGCGTATCTTTGTTTTTAATTCTTCAATGACTATTTATAGTGAAATTAATTTAATAATAAATGTACACGAAAATTCATGAATGTTTTTGATAATTGTTTCTATTAAGTACGATACAATAATCAATATAATAATTTAGTACTCTCCCCAACATTCTTTATATTCATTACCTAAATACCATATGTCGCTTACGCAAAGTGTATTCAAAATCGAGGATCGAACGATAAAATATCCACGTTTATTGCCACGCTACACATAGGTATCATCGTATTCTATATAGAGTATTAAAAACTATGGAAGTAGAAGCTTACGTGAGTAAAAAAAAAAAAAAAAAAAAAAAAAAAAAAAAAAAAAAA